TAGCAGCTGATCTCCTCTCTGTTCTTGAAGCACTGCTCCGATGCGGACATTGGATGCATCGGTGGTCACCAACACTGGAAGATTGTTATCAAAAATATTCATGACCGGGCAGTCAGCAAGTAGTTCTTTAACCTGGTTGAAACTAGCATTGGCCTCAGCGGACCATTTAAAACTCTGACCTTGCCGGTGCAGAGGCTCAACAACATCAGCCTAATGCGGTAAGAACTTTCCATAATATCCAACTAACCCCAAGAAGGATTGAAGTGTTTTAACATCAGTAGCAACAGGAACATCAAGAATGGCAGCGACCTTAGACTCAACCGGCAGCAACCCACGAGCACTGATGTTATGACCTAAGAATGCAGTTTCAGTAGCAGCAAATACACACTTGTCATTAAGCTTCATGCCACAGGAATCTATTTGAGACAAGACACTTTTCAAGTGCACATCATGCTCTTCCCGATTACGGCCTCAGACTAAAATGTCGTCTAAGTAACAGACAACACCTGGGCACCCCTTCAGTACATTGCTCATCATTTTTTGGAAAATAGCTGGCACAGATGCCAGCCCAAAGCACACACTGCGTAATCTGTAAAGCCCTTGATGTGCTACAAAAGTAGTAAGATCATGAGTCTCCTTCGCTAGCACAACCTGGTAATATGCCAATGCAAGATCAAGTTTAGAAAAATTTTAGCACCTGTTAACTGTTGTAAGAGTTCCTCGATGTGAGGTAGAGGGAACCCATTCATCACAGTGGCCTTGTTCGGCTCACGGAGATCTACGCACTGTCAGATGGAATTGTCCTTCTTGCGGACGACGACCTTGGGAGACACCCTGTCCGAAGCATCCACCCTCTCAATGATGCCAGTCGACTGAAGTCGTTGCAGCTCATCGGCAACTTGTTGCCTCAGGAAGAAGGGAAGACAATGCAGTTGGGCCGCTGCTCGCTGCGCACCATGTCGACGCTTGACGCGGTGAATGTAATTCCAGACGGTGCCGATGTCCGACGAAAACAGGCGGTGATACTCCGGTGTCGCATTCGCCGGAACCGCCGAGGAGTCATGAGAGAACACGTGAGAGTCTCACCTCTGACAGTTATCTTCAGAGCTCGGATGGCGTCTAATCCCAGTAGTGAGGTGCCTTTTTCCGTGACGTAAAAGGGAATCGTGGCACAGTTGCCATTGTACGAGACTGTTGCCTTGAAATAGCCATGATTATTTATGGCTGGTTGTTTGATTATTTATGGCTAGTTGTGTTAGAAAAACTAGCCACCCTGTTTACGAGGTGTCTCCTGATGGAAAGGGTACCAGAGTCTTGGAAGAACGCTAACATCATCTTAATACATAACAAAGGAGATGAAAAGGACTTGAAGAATTACAGGCCGATTAGCTTGCTCTCTGTAGTATACAAGCTGTTTACAAAGGTAATTGCTAACAAAGTAAAGAAAACATTAGAATTCAATCAACTAAAGGAACAAGCAGGATTTCCAACAGGCTACTCAACAATCGACCACATTCATACTATCAATCAGGTAATAGATAAATGCTCACAATATAACCAACCACTATACATAGCCTTCATAGATTGCGAGAAGGCGTTTGATTCAGTAGAAATATTAGCCGTCATGCAGACACTGCGGAATCAGGGCGTCGATGAGGTATATATAAACATCCTGGAAGAAATCTACAGGGGATCAACTGCTACCATAGTGCTTCATAAAGAAAGCAACAGAATACTAATCAAGAAGGGTGTAAGGCAGGGGGACACAATCTCCCCAATGCTATTTACCGCGTGCTTACAGGAGGTTTTCAGAAGACTAGAATGGGAACAGTTAGGGATAAGAGTTAATGGAGAGTACCTTAGTAACCTGCGCTTCGCCGATGACATTGCATTGCTGAGTAACTCAGGGGACGAATTGCAACCCATGATTACGGAGTTAGACAAGGAGAGCAGAAAGGTGGGTCTTAAAATGAATCTGCAGAAAACAAAAGTTATGTACAATAACCTCGGAAAAGAGCAGCGCTTCGAGATAGGTAATAGTGCACTTCAAGTTGTAAAAGACTATGTCTACTTAGGGCAGGTAATAACCGTGGAGCCGAACCACGAGATTGAATTAACTAGAAGAATAAGAATGGGGTGGAGCACATTTGGCAAGCACTCTCAAATTATCACAGGTAGATTGCCACTATCCCTCAAGAGGAAGGTATATAACAGCTGTATCTTGCCGGTACTTAGCTACGGAGCAGAAACCTGGTGACTTACAAAGAGGGTTCAACTTAAATTGAGGACGACGCAGCAAGCAATGGAAAGAAAAATGGAAGGTGTAACCTTAAGAGACAAGAAGAGAGCAGAGTGGATTAGGGAACAAACGGGAGTTAACGATATCATAGCTGAAATCAAGAAGAAGAAATGGACATGGGCCAGGCATGTAGCGCGTAGACAGGATAACCGCTGGTCGTTAAGGGTAACTAACTGGATTCCAAGAGAAGGCAAGCGGGTTAGCGGGAGACAGAAGGTAAGGTGGGCAGATGAGATTAAGAAGTTTGCGGGTATAAATTGGCAGCAGCAAGCACAGGACCGGGTTAACTGGCGGAACATGGGAGAGGCCTTTGGCCTGCAGTGGACGTAGTCAGGCTGATGATGATGATGATTATGATGATTTATGGCTTGCTCTGAGTAGTTCTGTAGAACGAGTTGCGAAGGTATCAACTTGATATGCGAAAAGTTCCTCTAATAATCTTGGACGTTGAGTAATGACGCAGCTGCCCCAGTGTTGATGAGCATGTTGAAAGTGGATTCATTGATTCGTGCAGGAAGATGAGGAAGTCTAATAGTGGTGACCGTTTCGTCCACTTGCAGGACAGTAACTGTATTGGCCACTGTCGATGTGCCTTGATGACCGGTTGACTCCGTAGTAGTGCGAAAGACCTGTGCGTGCGAAGTGTCTACGACGTCCGCACCATGAACACGTTTGGCTCCTGGCAGGGCAAGGGGCGGAGTTGGCACAATGCCGCGTCAAGCCGCAGCGGTAACAGGCACCCGTGCGAGCCAGCGGCGAAGCTGGAGAGGAGGTGCCCGCAGCAGCAGAGGACGAGGAGGTGCACGCACGAAAAGTCCCACCAGCGCCATTTTGCGGTGAAGCTTGGCGAGGACGGCCACCATTTGGCCTGGCATTTTGAATAGTTCGGCGAGCTGAGCCGCCATCTTGCATCGGACGCAACGACACAGCGTCGACTTGTGCTCCTGATAACTGTAGCAACGCGTGGTTGACGTGCTCCTCCTCCCTCGCTACGTCGAGCGCCTTCTGTACGGAGAAGTCTTTGCCCATCTTCAAAAAAATTCTTTGTAGGTGTGGCAACGCGATGCCAGAGACGATCTGGTCGAAAGCGAGGATACCGCCCGCCGCGCCAAATTCACAAAGCTTGGCTAGTCAGCATACTTCCTGAGTGAATTCCACTGCCGACTGGTGTGGTCCCTGACACAAGGATTTGAAGGGCACGAACACACCCCATCTGGTTGAGGTTGAAAGATTTCATTAGGCGGCGCAAGGGCTGCGTCGTACACAATCGCCGTCGTCTCCTGAGTTGGTCGGTTGGCTCCCGGCTGCTCATCTTCGGCGTCAGGCAGGTTGGTGTTGTGTCCCTCGACGCCTAGGGCGTTCAGGAGCAGTGCCTCTTTGTGCTCTGGCGTGGCGTCCCTGGCAGTGGCGTCGATGTAGACCTGTAACACAGAACGCAACTGCCTCCATGGAATAGGCGGTACACTGGGGCACTGGAGAAATAGAGGCGGAAAGATAGCCGCGTTCGTGTTTGCCGAAGAGAGCATCGAGAAGGCAGTTCAGGAGAAACGCGCTCGTCGGTAGGCTTTGTGAACGAACTGGCACAGAAGTGTAGAAAAGTAGGATTCAAGCAGAAAATACAGTACCGGTGGTACAGCTAGCATGGTTGCTGAGTCGACAGCATGAAGAAGAAGGCAGGATGCTCATCTTATCGCCTGATGCTCATGGATTGAAGATGCTCGTTGCCAAAATGTAGTATTGTGCGACGGACGCGCCGCACAGAGAACACGGCATGGCGCTGAAGCACCAGCCGGCAAGAAGTACGCAGACCTGGTAGCCAAGCAGGAAGTCCTTTATTATATACAATGCCCCGCATGTATACACAGGGTAGCGTCCCCTAAGGGCGGAAATACTTTACATGAAACCGAAAGTAGCTTTGCATGAAACCAAAACACCACACCCCCCTTTTCATGTTGTTGCTTCTTCAAATAGGTAGTTTCCTCAAATAGGGTGCTTTTTTTGAATGGTCAAAGCCTTCAACAAGTCCCCCCCTCCTCCCCTAAAAAATCCTTGCTATGGGTTTGCCCACGATATGCTCATAACTATTCAATATGTGCAAATAAGTTGGTTGAACTGTGAGAGGCTTCTGCATGCCTTCTACTTTGCATGACATTGACTCCCAGAATTATTGGTAGCTGCTGCATTTTTTATGCTCCAAAACAATTCTAAATTACTATTATTCCTGTTCCAGAACTGCCATTAATTAAGCAAAATCATTTCTGCTTTATATGTGCTAAAATGCCAATTTCCTGCTCTGAAAATTGCTCCAAGTCATAAATTGCTTTCATGACAGTTGTCAGTACTGTAATAATTTAGCAAATCTTTTGTATTTATTGTAACGTCACAGTATTTTATTGCAGTACTTTGGTTATCAGGTTATATGTCAAGTGAGCCTGCATGTGAAATTAAATATGCACTTCTGCATACCTATAGAGGTATTTTTTGCCCACACGTGTTCAGTACTTGTTCTTTTATTTCTCTGTTTTGAAGCACGCTACAGGCTCTGTGTAAAACTACTGGTACAGGATTTGTTATATATTGCAGACCTAAATAGAGCAATAATTGATGAACAAGAGGGAGAGAACAGAAAGAAGACATATCTGAGTAACAAAGTCTTCTTTTAGAGATGCCTGTGCAATTTACGCTTATTTTTGCATTGCAGGTGTGGATGAATCACGTGATGTTTTGTCAAATTGGAGGCGCAAGGAACCTGCTGATGAATTACTGAGAAAATTCAGAAACTACGAGATCTGACTTCTTTTGAACAAATGTTATTGCTTTGATGCAGTGAAGGCCGCATTATGTGCTGTGAATGTAAATATGTCTCATTAAAAAGTAAATGTTGCAACTGAATGATATAAGCTGCAAGCCTCAATTCACTTTCCTTAACATATAGTACGGATAACGCTCACACTTTATGCACATGTTTCAATGACATTGATTCACAGTTCATCTTTCCTGAGAATTACTTTTGTAGCAGATTTCACAGCTAGTGTAGATGTGGTTGACTTAATAACAACCAAGACTGGGTACACTGTACCTTGCTGTGCCGCTTCTCACGAGTTTTCGCAGTTTCGTTTTGGCTCCATCAAGTTTTACCAGAAGCTGGATCACCCTTTCCATTAGCTTTGCTGGTTGTGGTGACCTCATGCAAACAACGCTTTACAATCAAACTTGGAGTTTGTCTGCAATGAGAGATTGCCTCCCAATGGTCCACACCCCTTTTTGCCAGTTTTCAACCACTTGTGCTATGGAAGAGGTTTTAGGAATTCAAGTACAGAAAGAAAGGAGAGTAATAAGTAGAGAACACAGTGAAAAAGATTTTATCTCCCACAGGGAAGTTGAAAAGTACCAATAAAATGTAATATGTTTCCAGCTAATGTGCCCGATCAACTGTGGAGACAGCAGAGTGCTTTTAGCAGAGCATTGACTAACACTGGTACACACCATGTATTGCAGCGATGCCAAGGTATGAGCTGACCTGTCAAATGCAGCAAATTCTTTAGTAGTGGTTGTCGGGCTTTTGTATAACATGACTACGTATGTTATTTTAATAAAATGCAATATTAAAAGAGGGCTACAGATTTTACTGCTTCCAACAGCATCTTTCAATTGAAAATATCTTTTTGTCAAGCTCAAAAAGTTTTTCCGCTGAAAGATTCCTTGCTAAAATTTTATAAGTTAGGAAAAATTCTTGGGGTGCTATTCTGGACATTGTGGAATTCCGCCATGTTGTCAGAATCTGCCATTAATTGATGCTAATTGGCCCAGTGAGCTGCTATGATCTCTCTGATTAGCTTAAAATGCTGCCATTGTTAAATTCGACAATATGGCAGAATTAGACAGTGTCCAGAATAGCACCCCTGCACAGGAAATCACTTTGACCTCAAGAAGGTCACTAAAAGAGACAGACAAGGTTTTTCATAGAAATTTTATTGAGATCGAATAAATTTTTACATTATCAAAGGAGCCATAAGTGTAGCAATTCTCCAACCTAATAGACATTGTTTTGAAGTTGTGAATAAAAGAAGCCAGCCAATGCCTACTCTTGAAAGATGCCTGCCGCACGAGCCAGAAACTTTGTGCCCTTCTCTTTCCCTCCTTCCTTGTTTCCAATGGAGGCAGTAACTAGGGATACTTGTGGTGGCCGCTCGCAACACACATGTTCGCGTGTGCACAATACCACCCTCAATGCCACAACACTCTAGCCTTTTGAAAACAAGAAGGAGAACGTGGTGCCATTCCTTGGCAAGTAATGAAAACTCAAGGCAGGGTGGGTACAATAGGATAGCGAACGTCGCCACAGGCATCTCTCTAAAGGAGAGGTTGGCCAGCCATAAGGACGCCATTGAAACAAGTGCACGGCAAACGTTTGTAACCTTGTTGAGTTTATAAACTGGAAAAGAAAAAAAATGACAGCATATCCGTGGGGTGAATGATAGAGACTGGGGCAAAGCTGGGTCTGCACGTCGCTGCCGCGCCGCTTCGGCCTTTCGTTGTCGTACTGCAGGATCTTCGCGGCAGGCTTCTAACTTGCGCGCCCGCACGTGGGGGTCCCTTCTTCGAGCACGAGGCGCCGCTGCCCTGCGGGCACGCTGCTCAGCAGCCTTGTCTATCCTCTGTCGCCAAGTCTCTGAATGCGTGCGTGCCAAGACAGCATTTTTATTGTACTATAGAGCTCCCCCTGGCGTACGGCATTGCCGAAAAACACGTGATCATTTCTCTCTCCTTGCGTACTTGTGAGGTCAATCCTTCTTTTCTACAAGTAATGTCCCCTGGTGTCGTGCCATTTGCATTTTTCAGCGTATAGTACAAGTGCCGCCCTCTATGGTCGGTTTTAGGAAGGGGGGTTACCCACAACGGGGACGCACAAGCCACATCATAAGGAGCTTCGCCTCTAAAAAAAAGACATGGCTAGAAATAGCAGCCAGATCGAACATTTCCATGTACTGATGGCAAATACATGCACAGCTTATGAATTTGTTGGTGCCATGCCTCTAGAATCGCTCAAGCAACACATTAGAATAAGCATAACGCTCATTTAGGAACATGCTCCTGAAAAATTTCTTCTAAGGAACTTAAGAGTAAAGGAAGCACAACAGCAATTTTACTACCCAGTTTCCCCTCCCCTCATGGGATTTTCATAAGTCGACTGGTGAAGTATTACAGCAAAGCTGTTTTACGTGTTGCCAGGTGGAGCACTGTGGCTAGCTTGCAGTGGTGTTATCGACAGGAATGAAGAATGGTAGTGTCAAAGGGGAAAGAGTGAGGCAGTGGTGTAAAGGTGTAGCTGCAGTATGACGTAGAGCACTGTGAGAAGTTGGGGATGGTGAGGTGGTGCACAACCTTCATGATGAAGGTGCAAGTGGAAAGACATTGTAGTGTAGCGCTAGTGGTGGCCAGCCGGCTAGAGAAAGAGATGATGAGCGCCGGTGGCTTGTGGCGCGAGACGTCTAGAATGTTCGTGGGCTTTTAGCTGGTTGGACGCCATGGGCGTTGCTCTTCTTCGGCAGCTCGCTTTTTGTATGTCTCGTCTCTCGTCCTTTCATTAAACCAGTGACGACGGCACGTCTACGTCAGACGCTATCACGTCGCTACAACTTGGTGACCATGGACTCACGGACAAGCGACCGACAATACGCAACTACCGCTGAGCTCTGCGGCCATGTTCCAGCGAGCACAAGCTTGGCAGCCCCAATTCGACCCGCCACTGCCACCATTCCGGACCTCTCGCCTAGAGTCGTGTTTCGGGGAGTTTGTGGCGGCCTTGCATCTGGACCTAAGAGTTCATTGGTGTATCACCTTCCACATGATCTTAAGCACTGCCTCACATACTTCTCCTGGAGCCCTCGCCCTAACAATGACCTGCGAAACACCGTGCTCAATTTTACGGCATCAAACATGATACTTCTCTCAAAACCGATATAACTGCACTTGGCTCATCACCATCTAGGATGCCTCCCGCACTACAGCCGGTTCAGACTGCTCCTCTGCCGACACTAACTGGCCAAACAGGTAACAGAAACCAACCTTCCGTGCCAATTGACCCGTCGTACCAGAGACCCACAGCCCTAAAGTCCATGGGGCTTGTCTCCTGCGTGCCGAATATGCCACCTCTCAATCACGGATTCGACGCTGGCCATTGCTTTGTGCTACGGCGGATTCACTGCAGAAACATGCTCAGCTGCACTGTTCGCCTTAGATGCTTCGACGATAACAGCCGCGCCAGCTCATCCAACTGCAGAGCCCATGCCTGTACCAACACGTGCGGAAGCCTGTGACACGACGCCCGCCATGGAGTCAGAGCCCGCTGTCCGGCCTCATGCCATCAGTTTTCCCAACACACTGGTGTCGGCTGATGAAATGCTTGTAGGCTGTCAGCCGGACCGCGAGTTCTCCTCCTACACCTCAAAGGGCAGATAGGGTTTTCGAGACCTGCCTGCGAAGATTTCCGCTCACCTGTCTGAGGAGCCAGGTCACACACCCTGTCACCAATCCACAAAGCAGGTACCAGCCAGTGTCGTGGACAGCTATTTTGCATTGCTCCCACCTTCTTGTGAAGACAGGAGGGGCCGCATCACGTCTATGCGCAGCGCACGTGGTCTGTCCAGAACATGCATTCCGCTGTCGCAAGACGCACCGTTGTCGGCACTCAATCAGCTGCAGCACGCTACGCTTGGAGCGGCGTCGGCCTTGGCGTTGGTACAAAGTTCACCACCACAAATTTCAACGTACCTATCTGCTTTGCTCGCTGCTAGCGACGCGCAACCATCGAGGTCCTTGCCCGCTGCGTGGTTTCCAATGCCACCCACCGGAACCATCGGACTCCTTCGTACGTCTTTCACCCTGATGACATTCGGACTTCGTTCCAAGTGGACACTACAAGACCTGCCGCACATGTATATAGTGTTTATGTTTTTTTACACATTTTACATTCTTTTTTTATCGCATAACACGCTAGGTAACACGCTAGCCCTTGTTACGTAGCGCTAGTGGTGGCCAGCCGGCTAGAGAAAAAGATGACGAGCGCCGGTGGCGCGAGGCGCCTAGAATGTTCTTGCGCTTCTAACTGGCTGGACGCCACGGCCGCTGCTTTACTTCGGCAGCTCACTTCCTCCTGTATGTCTCATTGTTTTATTTAACCTGCAACGACGGCACGTCAATGTCGGACGCTGTCACGTCACAACATCAACAGCACCTACGTGAATGGACAGCAAAATCAGAACTGTGTAAAAATGGAAAGTGTGGAGAGAGACCATAAATCCTAGGAAGAGCGTTGACATCTGCAGTTGGTCATACCGCAGGATGGAACAGAGGGGGCAGAACGCAAATACAGTTTCGTTGATCATAAGAATGCTTTGGCCCCATGAATTTGTTAATTCCCCACACATCCTTCCTTTCTCTTAATCGTGTCTTCCCTGTGTCAGCCTTCCAATGCTGACATGCGTATACATATCCCATACAGCCAACGCCAGCGGGCCAAATGTGAAGCTTCGTTGCTTTGTTTGCATAGTGTGCAATAAACTTGAAAAGCTTGCACTAAGTTGCATAGTGCTTGAAATGGCAAAAATGGATGATGCTGAAGACTAATCTGGGGGCTTCTAGGCCTTAGCTCAGCGATGCAGGTTCCAGATTGCTTCTAGGTTGTTAAGATTTAGCTAGGTGTTGCTAGGCTGTTTCTACGTTGACTCTCGGCATAGAGAGGAGGAGGATTGGAGGAGGAAGAACAGGGATCAGCACAAGAGAGATTCGAGTTAAACCACAAATAATGACAGACACGACACGGTTGTCCCAAATCCAGAGATGGACTCTCTTGCAGAAACGAAGCGTTCACACCTTTTGTAGATCTAACGGGT